TGAGTTGGCCTGGTTTTTAATGTGCACTCTTCTGGTGATATACTGGCCTGTCTTTCTTTCAGGATGTGAGTTGGCCTGGTTTTTAATGTGCACTCTTCTGGTGACACAGACTGTGGCCTGTCTTGCTTTCAGGTGGTGAGTTGGCCTGGTTTTTAATGTGCACTCTTCTGGTGACACACGTGGCCTGTCTTGTTTCAGTGGGTGAGTTGGCCTGGTTTTTAATGTGCACTCTTCTGGTGACACACTGGCCTGTCTTTCTTTCAGGATGTGAGTTGGCCTGGTTTTTAATGTGCACTCTTCTGGTGACACAGACTGTGGCCTGTCTTGTTTCAGAAGGTGAGTTGGCCTGGTTTTTAATGTGCACTCTTCTGGTGACACACTGGCCTGTCTTTCTTTCAGGATGTGAGTTGGCCTGGTTTTTAATGTGCACTCTTCTGGTGACAGAGACTGTGGCCTGTCTTTCTTTCAGGATGTGAGTTGGCCTGGTTTTTAATGTGCACTCTTCTGGTGACACAACGTGGCCTGTCTTTCTTTCAGAAAGTGAGTTGGCCTGGTTTTTAATGTGCACTCTTCTGGTGACACACTGGCCTGTCTTTCTTTCAGGATGTGAGTTGGCCTGGTTTTTAATGTGCACTCTTCTGGTGACACACTGGCCTGTCTTTCTTTCAGGAGGTGAGTTGGCCTGGTTTTTAATGTGCACTCTTCTGGTGACACAGACTGTGGCCTGTCTTGTTTCAGTAGGTGAGTTGGCCTGGTTTTTAATGTGCACTCTTCTGGTGATACACTGGCCTGTCTTTCTTTCAGGATGTGAGTTGGCCTGGTTTTTAATGTGCACTCTTCTGGTGACACAGACTGTGGCCTGTCTTGTTTCAGAAGGTGAGTTGGCCTGGTTTTTAATGTGCACTCTTCTGGTGACACACTGGCCTGTCTTTCTTTCAGGAGGTGAGTTGGCCTGGTTTTTAATGTGCACTCTTCTGGTGACACTGGCCTGTCTTTCTTTCAGGAGGTGAGTTGGCCTGGTTTTTAATGTGCACTCTTCTGGTGACACACTAGCCTGTCTTTCTTTCAGGAGGTGAGTTGGCCTGGTTTTTAATGTGAATTACTTTTGTCACACATATCTGTCTTCATGTTTTTTTAGTATGTAAGTTATTTGTTCTTTACTGTATATTTTTTGAGCAACCTATTTTTGCCATTTCCTTTTTAGTTGGTGAGTTGCTTATATTCTTATCCTAATCTATTCTACTCACTTTGTTCTTGCACTCATTCTTTTCATTTATAGAAAGTATGTCTGCACTCCTCCATGTCTTGTGAGTGTTATTTGGTAGCCTTCATTTTTCAATCTACATGTTTTTAAACATTATTTTTTATCAGATGATCAATGTCCAATCAATATCTTCCAGGATGTTAGTCAAATTTCAGCACCCTGCAGGCCAGTTTCATGACATCTTTGTGTTTCCTTTCTTCAGAAAGTATGTTATTCATTTTTTCTCATTTCCATCACCCTGATCTGTGCTTTTTTTAACTCAGATTGTATGTTTTTATTTCCTGTTAAACAATAATGCTGATGTTTTGTAGCTTGTATGCATTTGATCCATTTCCAAATTCTAGCACTTTCCTCTTTCAACGATTCCTTTTTTTAGAAAGTATGTATTTCTTAACATTATTAACCTGGGTCACTTATTTCAGATATATAGTGGGCAAGTCACCTCCACTTTATATCATCCTAGAATCTTTGGTGTCATAAAATGTTCCAATTTTTAGAGGGTATACTTTGTTTCTTGCTGTCAATGCTTACTGAATATTCATCTTCAAAATGTATAGAAAGATACAGAGCCATTTAGATTCCAATGATCCTCTTTCTTTGCAAAATGTCAAATTTTGTATGTGTTGTTATCTGCTCTATTTCTTCTTGTTCATCTTCGTTCCCCTTAGTAGTTGATACATCCTTCATAACTATGATTTTTCTAACATCTCTATGATTGAGTTATGTATACACCAGGGAGAAACAAAATCTCTAATTACTCACTTCAGTTTCTGCCTCCTGAGGTGTAGATGAAGTACTAATTGCTGAATAACATTCTACAGCATTTTGGACTCAAATATTATTATTAGCTCTAAATCAATGGATTTCACAACACTGTTGTAATCCTGGGTCAGGTTTTTGTTTGGTTGTTTGGCATCATGATCTACTTTATTTGGACGTCTCACTCATGCAATGTTCTTCAGAAAGTTTCTGGCACCCAAACCTGAGCCTGAACTCAAACTGAACTTTGCATTCAGTTGAGAAGTTTAGGTTCAAAGTAAAGTTCTGGACTGAACTTCAGCAATGCTAGCTATGTCCTTCACCATCAATTGTCTTATAATGTATTTAGTGTCCTTTCCTGATCCATAGTTCATCTTTAAATCTTATACTGCTAATTCCATGAGTACAGAAAGTGTTTTAAAAAAAAGTATATAGGAAGTACTTCTATACCTCACAGCACTTACTTCTTTTTTTCAACTTAAAATAAAATTTGAACAAAGTCTAGCTGTACTTTACCCTCCCTGGCTTATTCCATATGGAATGCATGGAAGGGGGGGTGGATTCCAGGAATTCCAGATGGATTCCATGGAATGGCTGATGGATTCCATACTTTCTGGGGATGGATTCCATGGAATGGCTGATGGACTCCATACTTTCTGGGGATGGATTCCATGGAATAGTTGATGGACTCCATACTTTTTCCACATGGAATTCAGATGGAATAAGTCCCAATTCCACAATTATTATCATAGAATTACAAGTCCAGACTTAATCCATAAAGTTCCAACTTAAACACTAATAAATGAGAGCTCTTTACACTCCTCCACCTATTCCTACCAGACTCCTACTGGACTCCCGGAATCCTACCGGACTGGACTAGGACTGGGACAAATTTCATGTTGGCTGATAACCATACAAATTTTGTGTCCCAGTCCTAGTGGAGTCCTAGTAAATTCCTACTGGAATGGTCCCAAATCACAAGGAATGGCGGATTCCTAAGGAATGGGTATAGTGGAGTCCAGTAGGAATCCAGTAAGAGTCCAGTAGGAATGTCCAGGTAGTT